GGCGGTAGGGTGGGGTCGGGATCGGGGTGGGGCCGAGGTAGAGGCAATGTGTAGGGGGTGGGGTGGGGTGATAAAGGGTTGGGGGTGGCAGTAGGGTGGGATCGGGGTGAGGCCGAGGTAGGGGCAAGTGGTAGGGGGTGGGGGCGAGGGTAGGTGGGTGGGGGTAGGATGGTGGTAGGGTGGGGCAGAGGTATGTGCATGTGGTAGGGGGTAAGGGGTAAGGTACGAGGGGTGGGGGTTATGGTAGGGTGGGTTGGGGTCGAGGTGGTAGGGGGTAGCGGTAGGGTGGGGTTGGGATTAGGGTGGGGCCGATCTAGGGCATGTGGTGGGGGGGGGGTCGTTGTAGGGAAAATGGGTATGCGGGTTGGGTGGGGTAATGGTAGGGGGTCGGGTAGGGGTAAGGGGTAAGGTACGAGGATGAAGGTAAATGGGTAGGGTGGGGTCGGGGTAGTAGGGTAGGGGTGGGTAGAGGGTAGCAGGTAGAGGGAGCATGGTAAGGGGTAAGGGTAAATTTGGAAACTGAAAAAGGTTAAAGTGTCGTTTAATTAATACATGGGGGTGGTATGCTTAGTAAGCGGAACTTTAAGCACCTCTTTCAGGTTAGTAAGCAGGTTTTTAAGCCGCATGCGTGTTACTTCACATGTTTTACTAACCTAACTGTGACTTTAGCACCGAAGTAAACACCTCCTTAGACTCTTAAATGTGTGCAGTGGAGGATTAAGAGAGGTGTTAAAAGTGGGTAAGGGAGTTGAGGGTGTTATATATTAAGAGAGGGTGGATTGACTCTCAAATGATGATGTCATCCCTGTGTTATTAAACCTCAAATTTTTTAAAACTCTTATACTAGTAACTTTTTATTTGTACTACAAAATTGCCAAAAAAACATACTACTTTGTCCCGTTGGACTTTGCCAATTTTCACTTTTTGGTTGTCCAAAAAAACTTTACCACTTTTTTATTAAAGCAACTAATTTGTGGTTCTGCACATTTCTCTCTCATCTACACAAATTTCAACCACACAGTTTTTACTATTCTTATTTCTCACCTACTTTGCACTTGACAAAGTCCACCGGGACGGAGGTAGTATCAAAATTCATGAATTGTCGTGATATTAATACTCGTATAAAATGAAGAAAAATCTGAAGTTTTAACCGTTAAGTTTTTCTGAGTCCGAAAAAACACGAAACACAAATTTTTAATTCATGAACGTTCATAAATAACTGAATATTTCATAATCGAACTTTACTTGAACTAAGTTCGTTTTTGTTAACTAAAACACGTTTAAAAGAATTAATGAAGTTTATTTGTTTTTACATCGATATTTGTATTTTTTATTTCATAATTACTTGGGAAAAATATTAAAAAGTAAAACACTACTTATAATAATGTAATTAATGTTTTATTAAATTGATAGGTAAAAAAAATATGTTGAGTGTATTTTATTGACGGTGCACGGATGCAGAGAAATATGGTATTGACGGAGTCTAAACACTATTTTCATATGAACGGAATCCAAATTTAACAATTTGGACTCTTGACCACTACAAATGGTCTTAGTGAATAAGCGAGTTAAATTTCTAAATTTATACGGAGTAATTTAGCGTCAAATTAATAAGTAGTACTATGTATTATTTTTGAGTTATAATAATGTCAATGAGAAATCCAATTAATTAAAATAAATAAATCTACTCCATAATCGATTTTTAAAAAATGGCATAAAAGACGCCTTAATTGACATCTTAATGGGAAGGCCTATTATTTTCCAACTTCATGATTGTGTCAGATTTTTTACTGCATAATTAAGTCATAAATAAATAAGCATGACTTACTGATTAAACGATTAAGTTGTTGTTTTCATTAAGCCTGTGTTTGGGTAATAGCGGCTTCGTTAGGTCCAAATGAAAACGCTGCATTTTGCAGCAATTAGGTCCAAATCCGCCAAAAAACAAACAGGGCCTAAGTCTACCAAGTCCAAAATAAACATCCTCTAGTTTTTAATAAACCAAACTTAAGTTTATTCACACAAAAACAAATACTTTTCACATTTTATGTCACTGCTAGACTATTATGTCATTGACAAATGTCATGTCACTATCATGAAAATAATTTCGCAAACTTTTTACGACAAAAATTTAAAAAAAATTAGAGTCAATTTGGTAGCACTGAAATTGGCTTAATCGGCTGATTCTGCTAAAATTTATGAAGTTCTGCCTGAAGTAACTACATTCGTTGATTCTGTTGATTTATGCAAAAATTATATTTAAAATATATTATATTAATAAAATAAATAAAAAAGGCTTTTTGATCCGAATATTACTAGAAATAGGATAAAAGACAAAAAAGTGGTTTCTTTTTAAAAATTCAAAAAATGTAACCAACATCACAATTAAATCCTGCACTGCAAAGTGGCTCCAACCAAAGTGACTCCACCTCCACAGTGTCCGCCCACCATCCACAGTGACTGCCCCACCATGCACAATTAGCCTAGCCAAGGCTCAACGCACCATTTCCCACACTCAAGCCCCAACCTCTACCGCCAAACCACTCCCTCGGCCAGAGTAAGGGGAAGAAGAACAGCGCAGACTCGAACGAGATGACATTGGTTGTGACGAAGACAACAACAACGGCTAAGGTGGCTGAGACGAAGACGTGGCAGCGTGCGTGAGTTGGCTACGGGGAAGTCAACACTGGTCATCTCCTTCACTCCATCACTGATTGTTGGTAGGTCCGGACAGAGGAGATGCATCATAGTTCGTTCCAAGAGGGATAGGGAGAGTCGCATTGTCGTTACGAGGGGGAGATGGAGCGATAGACTGGAGGTTGAATTTTTAAAGGGATAATTTGAGTTTGCACCCCACATTATTATCTAAATAGGACTTTCCACCCCGCTTTTAAAAATCTTTGTTTTTGCACCCCAACCCCATATGAAAAGACAAAAATGCCCCCAATCAGGAATATGTTGAAGGTCAACAAAATTGTTAAAAGAGTGGCATTTCTGTCTTTTCATATGGGGTTGGGGACTTGGGGTGCAAAAACAAAGAGTTTAAAAAACGGGGTGCAAAATCCAATTTAGACAATAATTTGGGGTGCAAAATCAAATTACCCCTTTTTAAATCACATTTTTGGAAAAATAAAAAAGGGTCATATTTGTACTTTTAAAAGTGTCTAGATTATACATATGCCATTCTTTCATAAAAATATATGAAAAGTAGCTAAAGTGATCATTTACAGTATCTTCAACCAATATAGTCAGAAAAGTCACTACAGTCTTACTTTTTCTTATTATTTCACAATTCAGCGCGCGAAATAAAAAGTACGTGTTTGATAAAAAAAACTTGGCTGATAAGCCTGATAAACCGAAAAACAGAGTCACCAAACGGGACTTTTAGTGTTTTTTATGGTTACAAAAGAAATCAATTACATTCAATATGTAAAATAAAATGTAATGATAAAGCTGTATTTTTTCCCATAAACTCTTTCCAAACTAAATGAAATCTTTAAAACAAGTAAATTTCATTTTATGAATTACAATCATATTAAGGGACTGTTGATTAAATCTTATCTGGATTAAGATTTATGTCTATATTAAGACACATTTAACATTTGTAGATTAAATGATATTTATATATGTTTATGTTGCGTATTAAATAATCCGTCTTAATTGAGTACGATAATCAATTAAGTAGTATTAAAGGGTTATGTTATGTAGCAACACTACGACGAGTAATGGTCAAGTCAGTTTTTTATTAAGTTCTAAATAAACAGGTGTTTTTTTTTGCGAAAGATAACTTAATTCATATTAAAATCGGGAACCAGATACAAAGCCGCCACATTAAAGGCTACACTGGAATGAGACATAGAGCTGGAAGATCGCTAACAAGCGACCCAACTCGCTAACCCCACAAGGTGGTAGACTCCACTAACAGCAATGCTGCACCAGCTACTAAAATGATTGATAAAAATAACTAAGGAGTTTTGAGAAAAAGAGTAAAAATAAGAATAACGAGATCCAATTTTCTCAGCCATTGGCAAGGAAATTGTGGTTTGTCCAACCCACGGCAAAGGTTCATCTTCTTTGTCACAGAGGTCCCCCATCACTGGCTTGACAGAGTCGACCACCACTTCTTCACTGCTCGCAAGTTTACACTCTTGCTTGAGCATCAGACTCTTCTCACATTCAAGGGTATCAGTAAATATGATAGGCGGTGTTGTCCCCCTGGCACCGCCACCTATCCGTTTTTTGGATCTTCCTCATATACCTTCATTTTGGTTTGATTATCCTCTCTGATATTCGGCTCTATCATTTTGCGCTTCCAGGGCTCTTTTTCTCGGGAATCAACCATGTCTTCTCCTCTAGAGAACAATCCTTCCATTATATAGCTGTGTGTCTCCTCAAAACTCGCACTGCTCTTTTCCATAATATTCTCAATCTCTTCCTCACGTGAGTTGGTTCCACTTCCGCCAAGGATCAGCCGCTTATTGCCTAGATGCACTCATTCTCTTCTCATATATGCACGCATCCAAGCCCCATATGGCTTCTCTCTGGTCCAAGATCCAGAGTGAGTATTAGATGGACAAAAACGATCGGCATGTCCCAAGATTCCACAAATGAAGTAGAACTTTGAAAGACGCTCATACTTGAATTCTGCCCAAAACCAGTTACCCCCTTCCTTATTTGTAGTCTGCGAACTATTGCTTTCTTGATATTCATGGTCACCCGAATCCGCAAGATGGGTCTCCAAACACCTCCCAGTGTGCGCTCATCAACAGGAGATTAAATCACCATCTCACTAAAGTCAGAAAACCAGCTACTTAAGGTACTAACTACTTACTACTAACGGTACAAATCGACATCCACAATTTAATAAGTTTTCATATACGCGTCACTTTTCATATAGGGGTGAGATCACATACAAACTAGTCTTCCCATGCTAACCTACAAACTATCACAAACTATGCATCTTTACATTATTTGTACTGCATATTGAAGTTCAAAGTGTTGCATATTATTTGTACTGCATATTAAAGTTCAAAGTGTTGCATATTATTTGTAATGCATATTGAAATTCACAGTGTGCATCTTTACATTATTTGTACTGCATATTGAAGTTCAAAGTGTTGCATATTATTGAGTTTGTAGGTTAGTATTTTAAGCATGGTTTGTATTTGATCTCTTACCTTTCATATATTCGTTTTAGTTGAAAACCCAATAAAATACCGTGTATATAAAATACAAATGATCTAATTGAGAAAGTAACCAGAAACATATCAAGCTGGAGGTATTTCAGATACCTAGAAACATTTTTAGCACATGTTTCATGATTTCAACCTCAAAAGTTTTCCCTATATATACCAAACCTAAATTACTCCATGGCATTCCCCCATTCTTAATACTCTCATTTTGTACTTTCCACAAAAACATCCAAAGATAAAGTAACTACTCCATGGATGCATATTTGAACACAATACAAAGTATTTATGGGAACCAAAAAGATGTGTAATATCCAATGAATATTATTGCAACTACTTCAAATTCAAATATAACTGTAAACAAAAAAATCCATTTCTCGTCAAGGAATTTAACTTTGGGACTTTATATTCATGCCCAAGAGAAGATAGCTCTTTGAATCTTCCAATATTTGGTGCAATAGTGCGGCTCTTTGAACGATGCCACGTGCCTGCATCTACTGTATACCTGGCAAAAAGGACAATATAAATTGACTCCCAGAGGATTCATTTTCATTGTAGACACAAATAGCAGACCAAGACAGAACCTCCTACAAATGCATTTCAACAATCCATAACACAAACAAAGATTTCTCATTATTGGGATCACAAAGAATGCAGCACACTTGAGTTAATAGAGCTTTCTTCTTAATCATATATGCCAACTTATAGAATCCAAGTGAAAGGTTAAGCCAAATCATAAATTTTACGATGTGTCTAAGTGTGCTTGATTCCTGCATAATGTGGAACCTAGAATACACTAAGAAAAGGAAACTGGGATGAAAATAGATTGGGGATTTGGAATGAAGAAAACGTTGGGGGGTAAATTGTACAAACTCGCTAAATCAATTTCAGATATTTGTTTAAACTATATTGATTTACCTATTTCGATCATATACAGACTAAGAAATATAAATACATTTGAGTTTTTTTAAAAGCTCTAATCAAATTGATTTCCTGAGGTAATATGAATAACTTCATTAGCATTTTCCCCCTTGCCTACCATTTGTAGGGATTGTTTTTTCATTCTTGCATTAATAATATAATTGTCAACATTCTGATAATAGTGAAGATGAATGACCGCAGAGGGAAACTCCCAAAAAGCTTCAGAAAGATCAACTCCATAGTACCTTGAGCAGCATAAAACTTGTTTTTCAAAGTGGTAATCCGAGTCTTATGATTCACATGACAACTAGCATAAAACACTTAGAGAGATCACAGATTGGCAAATGGCTAATGATATGCACCAGTGAAAGAACATATTCTAACATAGAAGTTCCCGATTTTCAGAAAATAACATGAAAAAGAAAGTTATCACCCAGAAACCAAGTGAAAGAGTTGAAAACCCGAGTTTAATCAGAGGTCAAAAGCATCAGAAACTAGCACTACACAGCATGCTCTAGGCAGACCTAATTAGGTTGATGACGGAGCTAATTTTCTCTTTGAAACAGCACTAGCAGATACTTCAATCTTTGTGTTAGCCTCTGCCAAGGCTTCTGCTGCAGATGGGGGCACATAAATTCTCGCTCTCTTCAAAATTTCCCCAACAACCCAGTTCTTATGCTTGCTCAGTGGTCTAGAAGGATCCAATTTGACCTGGAATTTCAGTTGCATCTAAAAGATGTCATCTTCTTGCATACACTAAAGTGTCTACTGACCTACTTGTGGATGCATCAAGTATGAGATTGTGAACAGTTTATAGTACAAAACTGAAAACAAGGGCTTCATTAATTTCATACAATCACATAATGGAAGCAAAGACCATATCGGACGGCCTTAATGAGAGGGTTGAGTACATGAATGAGGTTTCTCAAATAAAGTTGCAGATACCAGCAGTAGAGGAAGTAAAACTAAGGTGTGAAGTAATAAAAAATGCGCAACTAATGTGACCACATCAAACTAGTAGAAATTATAAAAAATCTGAAGTTTAACTAATTACTACGTAATTCATATGAAACACTTCAAAAGCAACATTGATAAAATCCATCCACTGATTCTTTGCATCATATTGTTCTCGTATTAATCATCCAAAAAGAATTTTTTTATGTTTAAAGTTGCCTAAGAGTTTTGTTAAAAATAATAATCATGTTCTTCTACATAAAGATTGAGCACATTTCAGTAGATAATACTACCAAAATTCTGCCAAATATACACACAGTGAATCACCAACAATCTAGACAGACTTGTCAAGCACAATTCCAGAAAACTAAAAAAACTTGCTCTAGTTCACAAAGATGATTTTTTAAAAAACCATGGTGATCTTTTCTTTCAAAAGTAGGCGATATCGTAGTGAAATTGTTAGCCAATTCGAGGCTGTTCCAAAAACCGATCGAACTAGTAACAAATGCGGTGCATGTGTGTCTGTGTAGAAAAAGGGTACGGACCCGATCGCCGATGTTGCACTCGTTGTTCTCATCGTGAGCCATGAACTTGGAGGTGCGCTTGATGTAGCGATTGTACGTCTTGTTGTGGAAGAGGCGGTCAACGGCCACCACTACCGACTTCTGCATCTTATTCGACACCACCGTTCCGACCACCGGCTTCATCTTCCTCGTTGCCTAAAACCCTAGCTTATCGCTCTGCAAAATGCTAAACCCCCTTCCTATACGCCCTTCACACCTCGCGCCGCCGCTAACGTTCACGGCGTCGTATTTACCTGAGCTGGCAAACGCATCCGGTTCTAATTTTCATGTTTAATGTTCGGTTTACACTTTAGGTTTTATTATTTCGATTTCAATTTATTCGGTTTGAGAGGATTTATATCAAACTAAAATAATTTGTGTTTCTGTTCGGTTTGTTTCAATTCGAATTGATATTCGATTTACCAAAATGAAAAGTATTAGGTTCAATTTAGTTCGATTTAAATCGGTTTCTTATGTGTATTACTTTATTTGATCAAGTTCTTTATTTTAGATTTTTTTTATCATAGTTCTTTATTTTAGAATTAGAAAATGAAAATAGTAGTCCATTTCATCTTCTTTTATTTATTATTTAAATAAAATGTAGAAGGAAATAAAAGATAGAAACACCAATAATAAAACTTATTATAAATTAAAACTTCTAACAGTTTTTCGATCACTGTAAAAAAAATCTCATCTCACAAAAAATAAATTTATAATTGATTAACATTTACAATATCACACAAAATATTCAAAGAAAACTAAAAGAGTCGATGATACAAATGTTGTAATATTCACAATTTTATTCAGAATCATGTAAAAAATACAAAGCAATTTGCTATTGTTATTGCCAATTTTCATGAGGGTTTTTTACAAGAATATTATTAAAATAAAACTTATTTACATAAATATGACTATTCATTACTACAATGTAGTGATGTGCTAACTTAAGTTCAAAACGTGAACAAGAATTACTATTATTCATTACTACTCTAGTAAGTAGTCATATTTTTGTAAATCGTCTTTATTTTGATCATATTTATGTAATTATTTCTTTTCCTTTTCTTCTTCATAACGGCATAGTACAAAACATAACAAATACAAATATGTCGCATTAGTTAGCTTTGTTATAATGAATGTATGAAATGTGTAAAAGTTAAAATGGTATATGCTAAATATGTATTTTTCATGTCTAAATTATTTATTTATATCTAAAAATGAAGGGTGAAGATAAATCAAAGCGTGTGTGCGTGTTAAAAGTTGTTCGATGTTCAGTTCAAGATTTTTGGGTTTTAAGCCAAACCAAAGCAAACCATTCGATTTGAGCAAATTGTTACCAAACGGTTTACTGCAAACTCAAAACAAACCAAACCAAACCACCAATTTTAAGTTTGGTTCGGTTAAACCAAACAACTTTGCCCAGCGCTGTTTAATCATATTGGTTCGATTGGGTCGAACCGCAACCGGATCCTATCAAAACGAAACGCAATGATTCTGCATATGTTGTTTCGTTTAATTTGAGTAGCATTTCTTCGACCCGTATTAAATTGATGAATCAATATATGGGCAGAAATACCAAACCGGCATGGTACCAAACCAAACCGTTATGATACCAGACCGAAAAACATGATTTGAAACAATTTTTAGATTTTTTTGTCCCAAATCGGACCGTACCAGTTCCAGACCATGTCATGACCGGTTCTCATAAAATGAGAATCGGTACCGGAACAAATATGGTTTATATAATTAATAATTATATGTACATGTATGCCATTACTTTGATTACTCCTTTGCACTTTTACGACCTTTGTTAGTCGTAGGAAGCTTGAATCGCTGCTCGCTGCCAGGGGCGAATCTGCATGGGGTGAAGCCCGACCCAAATTTTCTTATTTTATTTATTTATTTTAGGTATAGTGTTAGGCCCCTCTAGATTTTGATGATGCATGTATTGTAGACTCAAACTTGATCTTGTGCTTTATGTTTTACGTATGCATGCATGAGAAAAGTACAAACAAAAGAAGAAGTACCTAAAACAAAGAAAAGAAATAAAGGTACAATAGAGTTGGCTGTTTTGTGAAAATCGGTAGCCTGCCGAAACTGAGGCATCTGATTTTCACATTCCATCGGGTCAAAAGAGTTCAAGTTATTATTTCGAAAGTTAAAAGAAAAATAAATTCATTTTTCTTTTACAACTTGGCTAAAAAGGAAAGTCACGAGAACCTATTTTTGACAAGTGGGCTACGACCTAGGAGAAACTTTTGTAAGTCAACACATACTCTCTCATTTACAAGTGTACACATGGGCTCGAAGAAAGGAACAAAAAGAGACTCAGGCTACTAGGAAAGAAGACAAAAAGAGAGCATGCTGAAGATCAAGTGAAAAGTTTCAACGTTCAAGATTGAATCTCCTCAACTAACGGGAGCTATTCAACTACAAGAAGTCTATAAATACACAAGAGATGTGCCGAAGAAGACTTAGCGAGCTTAGTGCAATCAAGACATGTATATCAGAATATCTAGCAAAAAGGATAAAGTGTTAATCCATCAGTTTATTCTCAGCTCATTCACATCTCTTTAAGCTCTTAGACTAGTTCACTTTGAAAATTCATACTAAGAAGCTTTGAATAGTTGGGAGAAAGTTGTAAACTCTTTTGGAATAATTTGTGATCCAAAGAGTGGATAGATTAGGACATGAGTAACTCTTGAATCAGACTGATTCATTAGTGAAAAAACCTAGAGGCAAGAGTAACTTGGAGTAGATGTCACCCCTTGTGAAAACCTGACAGTTTATGCCTTTGATCAAGGGTAAACTAGGCACTAAGTGTATTGGTTAATAGCTTAGTGGAAATCCATCTATTGGGTGAGACTGGATGTAGAAGGATTACACCACATCCGAACCAGGATATATCTGTGTATTAATCTCTTTAACTCACTAAAGAAACTACCAACAAGCCTTAACCAATTCCCAGAAAACAGCTCCCTCAAAACACAGTTTCGGCAGCCTGGGATTTCTCCAGTTCAAACCCAAAAAATTGTCTTGTCCGAATCTCACAGTGTGTTTATCAAAAGTCAAGTCTTCCGCTGGTGATTCTAAAGCCTATCAAAAGGTTTAAGAATCAAACTCATAAAGAGGGATATGACTTTAAAGCAAAAAGTTTTAAAAGTCTATTCACCCCCCTTCCCTCTAAACTTTTACTCGGGACCATCATATAGATTTAACACAAATTGAAGTTCAGCTAAGAGAGTTTGTAGTTGTAGTTTACTAGAGTTTATCTCAAATTATTGTTTTGTGATTTATGTTTAGTACTACAACAGTTTATCTAAAAATTATTGATTATATAATATGAAAATTGATAAATTGTGTGAATTTTTGGAGGTGGCTTTGAACTTTAATTTTCCGGAAAAGGTGACATTGTTTGATATTGGTATGACATGGTACCGCCCCGTTTGGAAACGGAACCGTACCGAACGGGTTTATGTGTAAGACCTAAATGAACCGAATTGTTTCAATAGTTACGGTACGGGTACGAGTTCAGAATAATATTGGACCGGACCGAATCGTACCCACCCCTAAGAATCACTAACTCAACAAAATCAAACCGCACTAAAAAGTAATAAAACCTTAATACGGAGTCTATTTTTAGGAAATAAAACCAAATCAAATCGAGCCATAACGAACATAACAATAGTATATATATTTTTTAAAAGTCATTCTTCCAAACTATTTCAAATCGAATCGAACTATTAAAAAATCAAAACTACATAAATCTCACCCATCCCAAGACTACTCCTGTACAAGCACACTTAACTTTGGAGCTCTTAGCTGATGAGCTCCTTTAAAAGGAGGTGCACCTTGTTGGTATGAGTAGTACTATTAATCCTTTTCAATTAATCTCGGGTATTACACGCCCTCCTGCCAAATCACCGCCTCACCCTGAAAGAAAATCAGCGATCGTTGGATATCCCTTTTGGTGGCTAGTCAAATCGATGGCTCAGTCAATTTCTGCTAGGTTAAAGTGATAGTTCACTGATAAATCGCTAGTGGTATTGTAGAGAGAATGGAGAGCTAATAGTAGAGATATAAAGTAATATGATATTACATGGGTTTCGAACCCTTTATAACTGCCCCAAGGGAAGTATTTATACTAGTGGTACCATAAGCTATTCTATGGGCGAGACCGTTGTGACGTTGAAGAGAGCGACACATGTCAGTTTTTAACCGACTCCTGAGAGGATGACCTCTGTTGGTCGAGGTGAGGTAGGTCGAGAGGCACGTGCCCCTCGTTCATGATGTTTTCCTTATCAATGATTGGTTCCGTATGAGACACTCGGGAGACCCTGAACGAGGTGCCACTAGTTGAGGCAACTTAGTACGAATAACGGTCTTGGTTTGATTTCCTAGACGATTGTGGTTGACATTTTTTGCTCTTTTCTTGCGTGCGTCCTCATGCAGTCGTTTGGGGACCATATGAGGGATGTAGGCCGAATGAATTTGGTTCGCTATATATCCAAGAGTATGTGAGTTATGGGTTTGAACCCTAGACGAGAACAAACCAAACTAGACTTGATTAGATTAAACGATAACATACTTTAATAGATTATATCTCACCACTTATAAAATACATATTAATCAGTCATTTTAAATTAGACTATGACGTGCACTTTTGTCGTGATGTGCACTCAAAATAATTATCAATACAACAATTATAGGTAGTATATTGAAGTAAGATTCATATCCACAGGGAAATGAATACTTCTCTTTTTATGTAACTAGTAACAAGGGGGGTTTAAAGTTTAATTTGATTCAATTAATTAAATACGAAGATGAACGACTTACATGAGTTTAATTAATAGAGATGAGGACTTGGTTTTGCTTTTATCCACTTAATGAGATGTTTGTTGATCCCGGTTATATCTTTAACTATCTTCCTCTCGAATACTCAATCGAGGAGTATATCCAATTCATCGAGAGTAGTTATTAATAACGAGACACGTTCATTAATAAAACTTACTACCGAGTCCATATAGAACACGCGCCGTATATTAACCCGATAGTAGCAATAAACTTAAGATGAAAACGATTGAGATTGATAACCTCAATACAAGTGGTTTATTGGTTTAATCAATATAATTAATTCCCCTTAGATTATTAACCATGAGACACATGCATTAATAATCCAAGTTTACTACCGAGAAACGACCGAACGATTAACAAGCGTATCCGTCGATCGATTCTAGTATTAATTAATATATGAAACAAAACTAGTTGATCCTTTAAGTAATGCTCAAAATATTAATACGAAATATGAATAGGAATTAATTAA